TGCCCTGCCAGGCCGGTGTTTAGATCAAGGGTCTGGTTGGGAATTTTAGGTGGGACCCCACATCTTTTTTTCCCAATTTTTTGGAGTGGGGTTCCTTAAACCTCCTACCAGACCTTAAGGGCTTGGTATGACTTTGAGGGGGAACCCCACGCAATGTATATGTTCTATACATTGTTCAGATGTACCACTTTACAGGCAGTTTAATGGGACCCCCAGGCAGGATATTTAAAGGAATTTTCTATTTTTATTGTTTCACTTTAAGTGATGTTAAAACCACTGCTCCTTTAAAAACTGTTTTTTTTAATGGCACATGTCCCCCAGGGCAGTACCCGAATCTCCATACCCTTTTCATGGCCAATAAGCCTTCAAAAAGGGGACAATTGATTTTCAAAGTTCTAGCGCCATAGACTTGCATTGAGTTCGAGTTTGAATTCAAACTTTTCCATGTTCTAAAGTTTGAATCCGAACCCAACACTGGGGTGTTCGGCATATCACTACTGTTTATACTATAAAATATATTGCATATATCACTCAAGGTTAAAATGTATGTCTCCAATGGGTATTGAGCACAAAACCTCACCATTAGTTTAACGATTCTCCCACCAAAGGAACTAACTAAGAAATCTCCCTAAATCATTTCTTCGTGCTCTCTAGTGATTCACTCAACCAACTGCATCAACTCCTCCCACTGGTCATATGATCATAACATTATCAATGATCCTATAGCCCTGGATCTAGCATCTTGTGTGGTGGTGCCAAAAATGTCAGAATTGCCCCCATTGTCACCACTGCCACCCATAAATACTATTAGGCTTTGATATATCAAGAATGCTGACTTCAGAGAACAGGACTTCATCATTTATGCCCTTTTTATTAATGAACATAGACTATCCTCTCTCTGTCTTAATTGACTTTCTGATAAGGACATTATGAACTGATGATAAAAACATTTTACTGACAAAGAAAAGGAAAACTACTCATTTTGATGCCCCTAAGAAATGTAATTTGTAATAAATGTATAGCAGAGAAAGCCAGATCTTTTGTGTCAGAATGATTAAGGAATTCCATTACTCTGTTAAATTGATTATATACTAGGTTTTCTTTCCTTTGGCTATGGATTTTAACTGCTTGCACAGAGAAATTCTGTAGAGGCTGGTTCATGCCAAAAGTTAAAGGCAATTTATGGGCTTTTTAAAGTATTTTTAAAGATATACTGTATATGTGAAAGTGATCAACTTAATGTAAGTAATCTTGTGAGTCAGTCTCTTCAGACTGACAGCAAGACAACAGACTTTCCATGTGGCAAGTCAATTTTTCCTCAGCAGCAATGCAACAGCTAAACAGAATAGAATGTCTTCTAAACTTTAAGATAACTAGATTTCTCAAATAAAATCTGGGCACACCCTACTGAACACACCCACAAAAACATGCCCCAATATATAGCTATTAATGTTTTAACACCCCTCAAACAATAAGTCAGAAACTTTGGCAAACAAAGGTATCAAGAAGAAAAATGCATCACCCGCTGAACACCTGGAGGCGTGGCCAATAATGTGTGTGTAGGTTCATGGTGTATGGCTTGTAGTGTGGCAGTAAGATAACCCCTAGGATTCTGCAAACATTGCATAATGAGAAATGCTTAGCAAGAAAAAAATGTTATATAATTAGCAAAAACAAGGGAAAAAGGGGTGGTCTGAACAAGAGTAATCAAATGCCCCTATCCATGCTAAACAGCTGTCTGAATACCTGTGCACTGACTGCATCTCCTATGTTCCTGGCTCCTTTTAATTTTCAATCAAAGTTGGTTATGTGGGGTGGTGCCTGCAAGGCCCCCACAGCTAGAAATGTGGCCAATACACTAGGAATTGGCTGAAATTCATGCCTTGTATGAAAAGCCTAGGTGTGGGCACCTTTGCATCTGATGCTTCCTGTGCCTGTAGTTGGTCCATTTCATCAGCGATCCTTTCATGTCCCACAGTCTGACCAGCCTGTCACTGTTGGAGGAATCACAACCAGTACAGGAGTGTACTACCTACCCCAACCAATAGAAAATAAGGAATAGAATGCAGTAGTTGCCCTGCAGACCTAAGGCTCTTTTCACATCCGGCACATTGTAACACGCTCTAACATGTGGTTTTCACATAGAGTGGCTGCAGTGTTATTCATTCTTAATGGCAACGAAACCCACTTTGCCCACACAGTTGCTTTGTATTGTTCAACAACACATTGTGGTGCACTGCATTACAAACAGAGATACATACACTTCTTTGCTGCAATTTTAGTGTGGTAGGCAGCCCATTCAAAGGAATAGGCTGCATTTATGGGCTTACCTTACCTCTATCGTTGACAGACTATCAGAAACTAAATGAGCACAGCATCGATCAAGACCTGTGGTCTGCATTTTTGTTTTTACCACTGTGTGCCAGTATTGTGTAGAGTTACCATGTTGTCACCGTGCCTCTGTCTCCTCTTCCAATCAGTACACTGCAGTACTGACTGCCTCTGCCCCTCCTGCTAACCCCCTCGTCCAGGTCCTACTTATTAACACGCATGTATTATGGTCCCGGAGCAAGACCACATCAACTTACCTCCTGCTCATAAGTTTGTAGAAGCCGGGAGGTGAAAAGCATGGATCACATGAACAATTCAGACTATAAGCGGGCATGGACATCATAGCTACCGAACACAGCCAGCTAATGCAGGCAGTCCTCCTTCCTTTTTCCAGGCAGCCAATGAACAGCAACAGTTCCCAGACCCAGCATAGATTACCACCCTTGTGGGCCCTGACTGTGCAATTCTGTCCTATGTGTTTGTCTGACTGCCCTGGCTGTGTGTTTGCAACCTTTTGGCTTTACACTATAGGGCAGGGGTAGGCAACCTTTGCTCTCCAGCTGTGCTGAAACTACAAATTCCATAAGGCATTGCAAGCCACCGGCATGACTCCCAGAGGCAGAAACATGATGGGATTTGTAGTTTCAGCACAGCTGGAGACTACCCCTGCTATAGGGGCAATTCAGTAAAGGCTTTGGACCACTTTTCTGGCAGTATGGACCTTTAAAAGGTCTTGTGCCAAATTCAGAAAAACAGCTAAATGAGGCTAGGACTGAATCACTGGTTGCTAAGATGCCTTCGCCTGCAAAGCCAATAGCCTCTTGGCAACCAATAACATGACTTAGTAGGCAGAGCCTGATACTGAGGGACTACTTAACCATCAGGTTTGCTCTTCTGATGATTGATAGTAGGCAGTGGGTGGGTTCCATTGCAATAGAAGGCTGACTATTGGCTTTAGAATCCACCAGATTCCTGCTGTCAATCAGTAGCAAAGCGGACCTGATGGGGAACTAGTACCTCAGCATCCCCATCAGGCTCTGCCCCCACTGTCAGCATTACTGGTTGTTAGGGAAGCTGTTGGCTGTAGCTGCTGTAGCATTATGGGGATGCTCAGCACTATCTGCATCACTGGTTGTCAGTAACACTTACCTGACTCATGAGGTGCTTATCCCTGCTGGCCCGTTTTTATTTGAATTATGTACGACTTGTAGTCCATTGATAACTTCCTCCAGGTCCAAACCTCAGTACGAACAGGGCCTGGGAGGAAGAGTCTGCAGGAGCCTAAACATTGCTCATGCAATCCACTGACTACAGTTACAATGCTTTGTAGGCTTCAATGCCAAAAAATTGTTTTTGCAAAAATGGGTGCATTTATTAAATTGTTTTGCAAAACATAGAATGTGCCTTTAAATGACTTTAAAGTACCATTAAACTCCCAATCTTTAATTTAAAAATGAATCCAGATAAAATAAATATACATTGCTCTGTCCAGTATAAGGTCACAAGGGACAGATCACTCTCTATCAACTGTCCATCTACAGGCTTGGAGAAGGGAGGAAGGTGGAGGTAGGAGGGGGGGGTGGTTTGCCTTGCTGTTCCTGTGTGTTTGTGGAGACACACACATCTTGCAAGCACACACAAGGGTGGCTCCATATGACCCTGCAAGGGAAAACAGCCACCCTAAAACAGGATATTGGGGCCAGAGCTCAGTGGACCAGCCGATTCTGCAGGAAGCTAAAACTTTTAAACAACAAGGAGCAACATCCACTGTAAGTGATTTCGTCAGCATTTGAAATAGCTAAAAAACATTTTGACTTTATATCTTTAATCGCGATTCACTTTCTATATTAATCAAAAAAAGCACTTTGCTAAGGGGCGTATAGTTTTGTAGCATTTTTTAAACCATTATAGTAATTCCCTTTATTCATATTTCAAGTCAAGCAGTACAAACCAAAGAACTGTTGTAAAAGAATGACCCTATTTTGGCTTTCCAGGAGAGACTAAACTCATTTTTTTTTTTACGAGTGGAAGGAAACAACAGAGTACAACAAACAGTTTTGCAGAGTATATTTCCGGCTAAAAAGCGTGTTTAACAGCTGCATGTTTTGGCCACTCATAATGTCCTGCCTCTCACTCTTTTTTTTTTTTTTATCTGGTAATAGAGAAGCGTGTTTTTCTGAGAAAGAATGCAGACTCCCTGTGAGTGCAGTCAGAAAGAGCTGGAGTCTTGCTATTTTGACAGTTGCAGTTAGAAGTCATTTCATGTTTTTTCCTTTCCCTGGTTTGTTCTTAGCTTTCATTCTGGGAAAGCCCATACTTGAAATACCATTAAAGAGGTGGAGAATAAAGCTTAATCCCAGACACACAAAGATTTGTGAACATTACCTTCAAAAGTCTCACGCCCCAAAGGAGTGTTTAATCTTACACTGCAACTGACTGGCTGCGGAGAGCCTGTGTGTGTGTATGCAGGAAACCGTTTAAGATGAAGAAAATCCTAGACACGTAATGAAACTGTGTGCATTTCTAGTCCCTACAAAAAACACATGGCAGAGACTTTCACTTATCCTAGCCTAAGAAAAATGATGCACTGAGTGTGGACTGTGCTACAGGAAAGTCCTCCAAACTTGCTGTTCTTTGGTCTGTAGATCTGAAACACTTCTAAGAAAAGTATGTCGGTGCTTGGCGTTTCGTCCAAGTTAAGACAGCCAGCTGTAGGATCAAAGCCAATTCATACTGCTCTACCTATACCACATGTGGGCAAGACCATGTCACACCAGTATCCGTCAAGGTCCCTGGAGCTGACAAACCCAGCGAAGTCATTCACATCTTGTCAATTCGTGCTAAAACGATCCTGTGATTTTGAAGAGAAGAAACTTATTCATGGCAATGTCAGGGAGACAGAAGATAGAAAGGTTAGTAAATATTCAAATGCAGATTTTTTTTTTTCTTTTAAGCTACTATGCTGTATGTTCTTTCAATCTTTTTTTCCCCCTGTTAATATACATGCATGGTGAATTCTTTTTTATCCTACTATTTAGATTCCATAATCTGAAATAAACACCCAGCAAGCACAGGGGCAGTCACCATGACAATGGCTACAAAATTTTGTAACAAACATGCTGCACATATCTGCAGTGGCAACGGTGGACTAGAATGTAAATTGCATTTGAAATCATAATAACTCAATCTATGATCAATCATAATGCGAAGACTTGTAAAAAGACAAAGTATTTGATCTTGTTACCAGTTGCACTAAAGTCTGTGTCATTGGTTTTATCTATTAAGTGGAAATAGCAAACTTAGCTTTATATAATACTGAGTTTGTGTTTTTATGCAATTGAGCCTGCAGTGGCAACATATGTGCTTTCCACTGCCTGGTGGGATAGCCCCGGGGGATGATTTGCAAAATGGGGAGATATTTGGCAATTATGTTTTATGCAAAAGCAGTTGCTCACTAAAGACACTGCTTGGAGCAGCACAGTGTGGTCCCCTGTCCAGGAGTTTCTTCCCCAAGGACAGGGAGCTTTAGGCTGACATTTCACCTGCTGTGCCATCACAGGGGAAAAAAAAACATCTATTATAACACAGTGCAGTAACATATAGCCTTGCTCTACGAAAGCTATTATACCTGAAAAGATGATGGCATTATGGTGATATACAAATAGGTCCAATCATCCCCCCCCCCCATTTAAAGTGGAAACCAAACTTGAAAAAATGTTCTTTAAGTTTGTGCATTTTATATATGTAGCTTATACCAAGACAAATATAAAAAACATGGAATTTCAGGCAAAAATAAAAATCATGTTTTACTAAACCTATCCTCATGGAAAAGATCATTACAATAAACCTCCAATGAGAACACTTTTACATTTCATTTTTTGTTTTGGATATATAAATATAGGGATTAACACATATAGCTGCTTGTTATTCTTACTAATACAAAGACAAAATGGCAATAAAAGCACTTTGCTTAGCAGAGTGGAGAAGAGCAAGAATGTTCTTCTGGAATGTTTTATTGCTGTGCATCTCATGTTGAGATCTTCTGCTGTCTCATGAGACAGGATGTAGTGAGAAATCTCACCAGTGGGGACAGACTTAGCAATACAAAGCTGAAAGTAGTTCTGATTTATCCCTGTGCTATCCAAAAGTGAAAAATGAACTGGCTGGAGCACTATGCCAAGTATATTTTAAAATACTGCTGATATAACTGCTTGAGATTTATACTATATTATATTTACACTTTTCTCAATCCCATTGGCCTTTAGAGCATTTCTCCTTACTGTCAGTTTAAATATTTTCAGCTTGCAGGAGTAGAATACTCAGGGAACGTTGACAGAGTGATGATGCTCATTCTAAGGCTGGGCACACACCTTACAACCATCGCAAGACTTTTGTCTTGTGATGGTTGTAAGGTAATTAAAAAAACGTACGATCTGCCTATCTTGGACAGGCAGATCGTACTTGCGATGATCGCAAGCCCGCCCTGCTGAGGGGCGGGCTTCCGATGACCGCAATGCCGAACGGGTAGTGTGCGCACACCGGCCCGTGCGACATTTATTTTGCAAACATGCCACAAACCAGCCGAACATTGTACGATGGTCGGCTGGTTTTCAAACAGGTTCGTAAGGTAAAAGTCGTGCAACCTTACAGTAGCAGAGGTCGCACGGCTCCCACACACCTTACGATAATCGTACGATGGCGGGATTTCCCGCGATTATCATACGATTATCGTACGGTGTGTGGGCACCTTAAGTCCACTGGTCAGGCAAGTGACTCAACTGCACTTTAGCTGATGTTGTCTCTGTAGTCTGCATGATATCTCTAATTGTGCTTCTGTATCTTACTTGTTGTGTTCCACGCATTGTGGCCTGCAGCCTACCAGTTTCTGTCTATATTTAGTTGTGTTGCTGAAGATGCTGCCACTAAAGGAAGTTCTTGGGACTTGGTAAAGTGCTCTGCATTTGGCTAAATGGACACCAATATCCTGATTCCCAACAGCTCCCTCTATTGATCGACCAGCTTTTTCATAAGCAAAGAAGGGTGAAAACAAATGTCAAGAGGCTGCAGGCCACGATGGGGAGAGAACACTGAGATCTTTTCGAATGAGGTACAGAGTTCCCTTTAGATTTTTTTATGAAGTCTTCAGGGACAATGACAGCGAAGAGCTCTGCAATTGATGCTTTTTTTCGGTCTCCAATCAGAATTCAGTAATTAACTGTTTAATATTTTTTTTTAAAGTGATGAAATCTAAGCTGTAAAGCTATTTTTTTTGTTGCCACCTTTTTATTATTATTATTAAACTTATTTTTCATGAAGTGTTAAGCAAAGTGGCATCTAAATATTACTTTGCTTGAAGCTGAACTCAAGGCACAAAGCTAAATACACATATGGGAACTGTTTTACCTGCCAAAAGAAAATTTGCATTTCTCTCAATCCAGTCCTGAATTTGTAGTTTTGCAACTGAGCACAACCATACTTGCTGCAGTTTAGTTACACTTCAGGTCCCCTCCCCACCCTGTGACTAGACTGTGAAAGGAGAAGCAGCATACCGATGAGCTCATCCCTCTTTCAGTCTAGTTTCTCCTCCATTGCATTCATTTGTGTATATAATATCTGCCTGGAGTTCTGCTTTGATGGCTGCCCAACCCAAATTATAGGTACCTGAACTAAAAGCCATTAACAAGCATTCACAGTGATATATGTAAAATTTCCATTCATTTGACAGAATGTGTTTTAGCATCTGCTGGTGGAATGCTACTCCTAATATGAGGTGATAAATTAGGCTGGGAAAAGGATGATGATGTTCATGTTTCCTTCTGAGGGATTACTGACCCAGAAGCCACCTGTAGCTCAAACATTTTTTTTCTGCTACAATTTGAAGCAATTATTTGTCATTTAGAATAATGAATTGTGTCGTATATGGCTTCAAAAAGCACACACTCTTGAAGGGTAAGTATATTGCCTTGTAGGATGCTGTGCACAGTTCATGCACACTGACGCAAAACATTGCAAATTCTGGTTAGAGGTTTGTTTGCAAAGTGCAGTCGTAAATAACCAGAAGCATTTGGAGCCACATGGACTTGAGTTCCACTGACAATACTGCATAGCACACCTACAAACTGAAGAGTTTGTTCAATTACTTTTTGCTGAGGTAAACAATAGAATTCAAAATAACCCTTTAAGAAATGAAGTATTTCAAATGTCCATATTCTGAAAATAAAGGCTACAGAGATTTATTGGGCATCAGGAAAACTCAAATGATCAGTTGGAATACAGGGTATAACAACATTCTTTATCTTTATGCATTTGAATATCTCCAAGTAAATGTAGCATGTATAATATATTTGATTGTGCTGCTTTTGTACAGTGTATGTAATGAGAATGGCAACAACACATTTCCTGGAAATATATTCAGATGGAGCCCATTGGCTGACATGGAAATGTTAACCAGTTGCCTTTTTGTGAGAGCTTTGTGTCACAATGTAAAAAGTCGGTGGCATCTTAGTATAGGTCCTAGTTAAGGTGTCCTAATGAAGAGCCACATTTTCTTTTGTATTAACAACCTAAATTGCCATTTTGGCTTAAAGGAGAACTATGGGGTTATTTTTTTTTCCCGTTAGTTCTCCTAAGGGTAACGGGAGGACACAAACTAGCGCCCTCCCGTCACCCTAAGCTCAGTATACCACGAGCTACAGCTTGCTGTATACTGAGTCACCCCAGCTGAAACGGGTCCCGAAAATTATGTCTGGATCCGCCGAGCTGCATGAGTGACAGCTGGCTCTGCCTATCTAGAGGCAGAGCCAGCTGTACCCTCCCCTGTCCGCTCCACCAGTCAGCGCTGGAGGATCGGAGTGGGGAGGGGGAATCCAGTCCCTCCCCTGTCACGGCTCTGTGCCGTGACAGGATCGAGAAGTGAGCGAACGCCAGTATGTGTTCGCTCACTTCCCGATCTACTCAGCCGACCTGTGACAGTCTCATTGTCACAGGTCGACTAGAACTATGAGGATGAGTGAAAAGCACTCACCTCATAGTTCTCCTTTAATGTATTATATGTCTGATGTATATAGTATATTTCAGCAGAAGTGATTGGTCCTAATGCTACAATAATATCCAACCTGACAGTGGCATCACAAAGCTTACAACAAAATTTAGTTGGTGCAATATGGGCAATCAAAAGTGATTTCAAAGAGAGCCCCACACAAATATTTTATGCTAACAACAAAACCCTCATCCCATTTTTGAAACACGGGGGATGGTACAGGGGCTATTTTGCTGGCCTATGGCAGAGTCATTTAGAAAGCAGTTAATAAGTCCTTAACCCAAGCCCACTGAAACACTGTACATCATACCAGACCATTTCAGTGGTATTCAAGCCTAGGTTTCTGACCTTGCAATTCAAAAATATGGAATTTCTTCCATTTGAGCCACTCTGTTATGAATTTCTTGCAGGTGAAGATTCAGACAATTTTATGGGGTGCTATGCTAGTGCTGGGAGTATACGTGGGGAGCTATGTCCCCTTGCCCTGAATGTTATAATAAAAGCAGATATAACATAGTGAGAAATGCTTAGTCAGAAAATAAAAGATGAAATATTATATCAAAACCATTCAGAGTGTAATAAGAACACAGACTGTAATCTCTTTTATGGGCATTGAAGTGTACAGAGTGCAGTGGTCACAAGTATGTAAAAGTGTTCTTTACATTGCTGGTCAGCAAGTGCAAAAATATGCTCCATAGCTGGTGTCAGTGGGCATACAAATAAACCATAGTTTCCAATATTGGAAAATAATTAGGACACATCACACCTTGAAGCAGTTGAGAAAACTGTGGTGCACTACAGAGTGCACCTGGCACCCACCTTGAAGGGAATGAGAAGAAAAGTGCATGATCAATAAAGTGGGTGCTGCTTCAC